GGCATTTACAACTGACTATTGGCCCTAGGTATTTATTTTTTATTATACAAAAACATATTAAACAAATATATTAAACCATTTTTTGACTGAGATGCGAATGAATAAAAGAATGTCGATGCAGAACTCTACTTTGATTATTGTGGCCTGCAATACATTAAGGATATTTCTATTTCACTGGGATAATAATAATTGTTTTGTGCCAAACTGCTTTGAATACATTTGATGAGATCTACCATACATATTTTGTAAATTTGCCATGGCTGCCAGAAAAATGTTACGAGTACTTGAAAGTATGTTTTCCTATAGGCAAGGTTCTTGGCTTTCTGATATGCTTTGTATAATCATTGTTTATCATTTGTAATTTTTATAATTAGTTCATAATTTTCCAAATGAACCAGCGTTCTCACCAAGAAATGTATGTAATATATGTTATAAACAAATGTTTATATATTAAAGCATGCTTGTTTAGTTGTATTTTTATTTCAATAAGTCTCTTGTATTTCCAATAATTCTTTTGGAGACTTTGTTCCATTGGAGTGAAACAGAAATAAAGACTATGAACACTAATGAACACATGCAATGTTTTTATATTATTGATGACTTACCAGGTTGCTGCAAATGAATATGTATCAGACATCTTTATTTCTCAGAATCAATACACCTGTATCATCTGTGAATATGTACTGGGCCTAGATATTCAATTTGTGAGATTGTGCTGCACACACATACATGTTTGGGAAAAGCATATGCTTGAGTCTGTTTTTAAAATGGCTGCGCAGGGGGTGGTTTTGCTCAGTGTTTTGATTTTCGCAAAATTCAAAGGTATCAGTAATATAAATTGATCGATGAAATAGAATTTCAAAAATGATGTTATTTTAGTACAATTTCAATGTCATGGTGGAAAAGCTTTCCCAACATGTGTTGTTTTTTTTATGAGTTGGTCAGGGAATGTACTGACAACTAAGTATACAGATCCTACTTTAGGTCCTTTTTATTATCCAAGAAATGTACAGAGCGCCTGTTTGTGTAAGGGGTTAGGATCATGTCATTTAGATAGCCCAAGGAACACTGCCTATACATAGTTTGCAAGGCAGGTTTGGGTGGAGCTAAATAACCAAAGGTAGATGTACCAGTATATTGTATGTATGTGCACATTATTCCTCCAGTCATTGTGAAGAGACCTGCTTTTCAAAACTTGTGCTTGTAGTGGTGAAAATTGTCCATCAAATGTATACATGTATATCCAAAAGGTTTTCTATTCTATATTTATGCCTTATTATGAACCCTTTACATGTTGTGTCAGTGAGACAGTGACGGCGGCACAGGGGGGCAGAGGGGACGATCGCCCCTTGAAAAAAAGTTGAGGGGGGCGTCGCCCCACCAAAGTCAAGCTGAAACCCTTCGTGTTAGCAAAATTTGTCCCTCAAAATGCAGGAAATAGCATTTCAGAGAGTCTATATTTCAAAATGCATGTCCGACCCCCTAGTAAGGTCGCGCGAGATTGGTGAGCCGATTTTGCCCCCTCATGCACAATTTTGTGCCGCTGCCTCTGTAAGAGTTCCTCACCCCTCAACCATAACTTCTAATTTTAACCCTGACCATGCCCCCTTCTAATTTTAATTGTAAATTCTCCCCTTCAAGATAGTTATCTGGAGGGGTTGTACATTTGCATTGTGGGCCTGGAGTGTCAGTTTCACATTTAGGGGGCTTTCTGTTAAAGGTATCAGATGCACTATATTGTTCCTTCACATCAAATTCCCAAAGTGAATTCAATTGCCATAAAGATATTACTTGCATGTATTTGGTTTGATAAAAATATATGCAATGATTGTTAATGTGAGGTTATTACGAGAATACCTAAAAGTATGCATGAAGACAGAACTGCTGGAATATTGACCGACTCGCAGCAGAAGTTGATGCACGGCGTACTGTGTGAGTGCATACTTTGAGGTATTCTCGTAATAACATTATTATACATCTTTTCCTTCCAAGGATACATCATGGGAATGCCGAAATACAAAAAGTTTAGAACAGAATCAGCTAACTTCTTTGTGTGGAGTCCGTTCAAACCATGATGGCAGCTATGTTTGTTTTTATTATTAGACGCTTGCACGCGTAATCATTCCATATTTGGAATTCGCATGTCCTTGTACGGTAGAATGAATTACCCTGTAAAATACCGCAAAATTGCGGCACACTGTAACTTATGGCGTACGGTGACAGATACAAGTTATTTTCTGTGTCACTTTAATAAAAGTAGTATTAGATGCTAACCAAGCATATTTGAATCTTTTAGTCCATAAAAAATTTATCATATACCTTATAGGTGTAATTACATTTTTACTTCGGTATGACCTCAAACACATGATGCTAAGAAAATTGATCCTGCTCAGCAGTAAAAAAAAAAATGAATTTGCAGGCGGCAACACTAGGAAAAAAATCCACACTTTGGTTACACATATTTTTAACATCAGTGACGACAGCAGAGGGGGCAGTCGCCCCCCTCGAGAAAAATGGTGAGGGGCGTCGCCCCTCCAAAACCAAGCTGAAACCCTTTTGTGTCAGCAAAATGTTCCCCTCAAAATGTAGGAAATAGCATTTCAGGGGGTCTAAATTTCAAACATTTTAAGGGGGAGCATGCCCCAGACCCCCTGTAAGGTTTGTGAGTAGTTCTTGTTCCCTCATGCAAAATCTCGTGCATCAATCTCGTAATCAACACAACTCAGCGTGCCATATGGAAGATCTTCAAATAGTTAAAAATCCCAAGTAAGACTATGTATTCAGGTAGTTTGAAGATATAGGCAAACCATGCGTAGTTTAACTATGTTTTTTATTAAATTTCTCGTAGGTCATTTAACATGCTGCTGTATGGACCATTAAAAAGGATACCCAGTATTTGTCGGACACCTGGAAAATTTGTGGTACCGAAAACAAAACAGCTACAGCATTTATGTGTTTTACAGACTAGATCATATTCAAAGGTACCAGCTGAACGGCAATGCATTGGTATCTATTACAAAGAGAAAAACATCTTGTGTAGAACCTGTGAAATAGATTCCAGAAATGTTTACAAGAGATCTAGTCATTTTTTTGGTCGACAAGTTTATGGACCAGCCAAGTATTTTAATAAATCAAGTACATTATTTAAAAACAGTATTTCTAAGACATCGTCTGTAATTTTTACCGATGTGATCACTTCAAGTATTGTTGTGAGGGGTTACGCCACTAAATCAGTGTTACCAAGTGATAGCCGGAATAAACCGACTCGTAGTGGGAAACACAATACTGGTAAAGAGTTGCCAGCAGAAAAAAAGCATTTACAGTCAAGACCAAGGACAAAGAACCCCTCTAGACTGGCTAAAACAGATCTACAAGTAAGTGATAACAATATTATTGCCATACACGTGTAACTAAGCACTGCATGTAGTATGTTACAGCGCCCTCATACTGGAAGTGATATATGCTTTTGTTTGTATTTTGTTTTGTAGGGGTTCATAATAATTGACATTTTAAAATTAAGGCTCTGGTAGTAGCAATTTTCATTAATTTACTAATGTTGATTTTGTAGTTGTGTTTTCAGTGATGTTTTTGCTGTTTTCAAAGTTAAATTACAGCAATTTCTGAGTATCCTTTGTTGGCAATTACTTAAAAAAAAAAAATTAGAAACAAACACTGATAAAAAATAGCAGGTTTAAAATTATCCCTGTTGCAAATGAATAATGTATTGTCATTGTTGATTTTCTTCTTTCTATATGTGTAGGATGTCTTTGTGTGTACTGCATTTTCTACAGCAAAGCAATACAACTTGGAACATTTGAGTTTTGATTTACAGGCACATCAGCTTTGTAGATTGTCACAAATGCCCCAAGGTAAGTGTATAGCCACTGCTAATAAAGGAATCATGGATAATTGACAATCACACAACAATTGTGATCTTTTCTGTCAAATGTTTGCAAGTGAAAGAAATACTGTAAATGCATTAATTATTCACTGTCTTTTAATTTCGCTGATACGTAAAATCCGCTAAATTAAATCTACGTGGACATGTAAAATAACAATAAAACTCCTTGTTTCCTTGACAAATTCATGAAATTAAAACACAGTGAATATGCTCATAACATCAAAATTAAATGTTTTACAGTATAATGAACTGTATAATGCCACACAGTGTGAATTTGGTGCACAATAACTCACTTTTATCATGACCATTATTACCATGACTAATTTGAGTTCCAAGCCTCACTTTCCCACTTATTGCAATGATACAATACATATGATTTGCCACTGATACATCCCTTCAATGTGAAAGTGAGGCTTGGAACACAAAGAGTCAGCATAGACTATTGTATGATAAAAGTGAATAGAAATCATCTTTGACCCCCCTCCCCATCCAAATAAAGAGCATGAAGATTATTTCAGCAAGTCTTTGAATTATGGGTACCCTGTAATTCCATCTTTCATTATTATTTTATTTTCTATCTTTGTTTGTCTTTGTCTGTAGATGTGCAAGATGTGCTCCACATGAACATTGGTGATTCAGAGAACGAGGAAACTGATAATGAACCTGGCGAAATATTCTTTTTCCGAGAAGGATCAGTTGTCCTCTGGAATGTATCTGACTTGAAAGTTAGTAAGATTCACTTTTGTTGCATCATTATTTTCATTATTTGGGTTTAAAATTTTGTATACATGTACTGTAAAATACTTGGAATAAATTTTTGCTGAAGGAATGATTTAGTAAAAATAAAATCCAGTGAATATAACTTTTTTTTCTATATTTTACATTCAACTCAGCAAAAATCACAAAATACCTAAAAAGTCTTTTCAGTGAAAATTAATTCTAACTAATATAAATTATTTTACAGTATATAGCGATTAGCAAAATATACAATCATTTACAGTTTTGTATAATGTGGTTTTTTTCTCTGTCAGGTTTAAGGCACAATGTAGGATTCTCTGATGCCTTGTATTTTCAGCCTTGGGAGGATTATTCTTGAGTTATTGTTTATTTCTACCTCCCCAATTGTTCTGTAAAATAGTCATCCATACAATATAGGTTGTAGTCACCAGAGCGTTTCTATTCATACTACTCATTTCTGTTGTTGGTGCCAATTATACATTTTCAACTTCTTAAAATCCAAAAGCTTTGATACTTACCAGATTGGTACCTTCAATGTTCTTTTCTCAGTTTTGTTCACTTCAATTTTCTCATTTTAGCTAAAACCCATCTAACTAAGCCGTATAAAATACACTTCAATTTCATTTGTAGATGAAGAAAGTGATGCGGATACTTTCTAAACATGAGATTAATTCATATGAGGTTGCGTTAGTGAACTGGGAGAATGAACAAATGGCTTACAGATATTCAGAGTGAGTATTTCCCAACATTTAACAACTTTAGATAAGAGGGAAAAATTGTATGTATGTGTGAAGTATGTGGTATGACACAAATCCAATTTGCTTATGCTGCATGCTATGTATCATTTTATCAGATGTAGGCACTTAATTTTGGCTTTGTTTTATATCAAAGAGTGAACAATCATGGATTGCCATACAGGTGTATACTTTGCTGCATATTCCCATCTATGTACATCACATTGTTATTGTTGATCAGCCAATCAAAATGAAGGAACCTTTAAAATCTTGGCGAACATTTATAAATATTCTTGAAGTTGTACAAGTGGTCATCCATCAGAAAACATGATGGGGGTGGAGGGGGGTAAAGCTACATGTAGAAGAATCTGATCTTCTGCAAACATTTTATTCACATCTATGTTTTCCTATTCTTTTACATTATTATACATCTCTCACTGTAATGCCATAAGTTACAGCGTGCCGTAATTTTGTGGTATTTTATGGGGTATTTTGATCCCACCGTATTAGGAAATGGGAATTCCATATATGGAATGATTACGCACGTATGCGTCCTCTAATAATAAAAACTAACATGGCTGCCACCAGGATTTGACCAGACTCCATACGAAGAAGTTCGCTGATTTTGTTCTACACTTTTTAGATTTCGGCATTCCCATCATGTATCCTTGGAAGGAAAAGATGTATAATAATAAGGTTATTACGAAGATACCTCAAAATATGCACCCAGACAGTAGGCTGTCGCATTGACCTCCACTGCACGTCATTCGGATCGATACTCTCGCTGTACTGTCTTCGTGCATACTTTGAGGTATCTTTGTAATAACCTTATATTATTGCAAAAGCATCGTGCAATTATTTGTAGTTCTTTATAGCCTTAACAATTATTTCTCTACAAACAAAATCCACCAGCCCTCCCACTGGTTTTTAAATCGAGAAACCTTAATTTATCAAACTTAAATTCTCCATTGCATTATTTGAATTATTTTTTATCAAAATGTATATTATCATTTTCTCTGTTGCTTATTGAATGTATGAAATATTGACTTTGTTTTGTAAATGTAAATTAATTTCTTTTATTCTTAGACAGGCAACAAAACTGTCTAAAGGTGACATCATATTGAATTCTGTAAGCAGCAAAGATCTGACAGTTCTTGAGAAGTTCACGTTTGCAAATGCACTGGCACTCTCAGGTAATCATTACAATACACGAGTATAACGAGTATAATACACAGTAACAGCTAGTGTAACTGAAATACCATTCAGAACATAACTATTGTCTAATGAGTAGTACTTCATGCATATTGCTTTCAGAAGTTATTCATAATCTAAAATAATTAACAACTGTGAAACCTAACAAAGCCTTACTAAATATAAAAACATTACTTTTACCATCCGATGTGATTTCTTTCAAAATAACCATTTCCTGTGTTATGCATGAAATTGATTGTTAAACCAGGACAAACAAAGATCAAAACGTTTTAGTGGCATCAAAACATCACATGAGATTCAACAAATTTGAATCCTGGAATTTCAATGCTTAATATTGTGCTACACACATTGATGATCGTTAATTTTTAACGTCTTATTCCTCAGTTCTAAATTAAATCATTTGATTTTTGACGTTCGATTTGTGTCTAACGTTAAATTTTGCAGTGAATGAAATATAATATTATCTGTTAATCCTTGTGTGGTCAAGTCAATGTAGAAGTACATGGGGGTTGATAAGATAATGGTTACATGACTTTGTTTTAATGCCATGATTTGTATGAATATATAGGATTATATTTTTTAGAACACAGATTCAAATTTGTTTAAATCAAATACTGTAAAACACATTATTTTCGCTTAGAATAAAATTTCACTATTTTCGCTGAAGGAATGATTCAATTTAAAATAAAATGCAGTGAATATACCTTTTTTCCTATATTTTACATTCAACTTGTCAAAAATCAGTGAAAATAAATTCCATACAAAACACTCAAAAATCTTTTGAGCGAAAATTAATTCCATGTTTCCATACCATCTGTAAATTAATCCATGTACATATTACTATTTTTATAAAATTTATTTCAGTTAAATTGGCTATTTGGGAATATTCTCTGGACCGATTTGTCTCCTCCATTGAATGGGTTCCTGAGGTATGTAATTTTCATTTCATGGTAACCCTGAAATTATCTCGATCTTGCATTGTTAGTAGTTCAGCTACTAGTATATGTGAAACATTCATGCTAAAACGCAATATAATCTTGCCAGAAATATTACTAACTCTGGGTCTAGAATTATTGCAGATCATTTGTGATCTATATATGATTGAGCGTCATATCTGCTAGTATTCATGAGCTGATGGGTGTTTTTCTGTAAATGAACAGGAATGAGTTCAAATAAGAATATTTTCTAAAAACACCTATAATCATGTGGTTGGGACGAATTTTAATTACTGTACTATTGAGTTCTAATAATGGTGACATGGTACGTTGTATACCAACAGTTGCATTAATTGTATTCCTATGACTTATTTTTACCATAGACACATCTCATTTACAAGAGCCTATGTGTATATAAAAGCAGGGTTTTTCCAGAAAAAAACTGCAATTCAGCATTGCCACCAAGTGGGGGAGATAGAGTTCTCCCTACCAGGGTGTGGAGTTGTTGATAATTCTAAGTTAAAATGGAGCATTCTATGGCTTTCTTAAGGCCAAAATTACTATCAGACAGGTCACAGTTGAAGACTGTGGCCACATGTCATCACTGGTCAATCAGAATTTTATGGTTGCCAGAAAATCAGCTCCTCAAGGTAAGGGGGCGCATGGCCATAGCATAAGGGCGCTGCACCCCTGTTCTCTTGTTTAAAAAAAGCTTTGTAATAGAGGTGTGAATCCCTGAATCACTGCTACAAAAGTCACTGTGACTCTCTGTCTTGAAGTATATTGCTACTAAATTCACCATAACGCTCATAATTCACAAAACTACAACCAATATTACTCTTTGACTTTTACTACTCTTATAATTCTACATTGAATACAATCTGTTACTATTCTTTCTGTTAGTATCTCAAAGCTGGTAAGCAATTGAAAATGAGTAGAGAAGATGTCATGAAGAAAGTGGGTGAACTAATGCACCTGCGGCATCTGATTAACCTCAGCTCTGATTTGCTTATGACACCTGATTTTTATTGGGACAGAGAGGAATTGGAACACATATTTAACACAATGTGTAATTATCTGAATATAGCCAGGAGAACCAAGGTAAGCTCGAGTGTGCCCTCTAACAAGACTGGAATCAAGTCAGTTTGTTGACTGCTGAGAAGCTCTGTATAATAAAAAAAAAAACATGACTGCGGAACAAAATTGAAGCACATTCAGATTTACAAATGTAGTCTTTGGAGTCCATTCATCTGTCTGTCCATTCATTTTTCATGGACTTTAAGTACCGCATACTGTAAAGGGTGTAATTATTCACTGGGTTTTAATTTAGCTTATTTGGAAAAATGCGCTGAATTAAAACACAGTGAATATGTAAAATTTAGCATAAAACACATTATCTAAATTACGAAACCGTGAATTTAAAACCCACTGAATATGCCTGAAATGGTAAATCAGTGAAATTTAAACCCAGTGAAAATTAGTCATTTTACAGTATATGATTTTGTTCAAATGGATTGAGCTAAGACGACACAAACAGTTTTCCTCATTAGAGAAGTTACTCTAGTTTTTCAAACGTTTCAGGTAATGAATGAAAAACTAAACCATTGTTCAGAGATGGTGGAATTAATGAGAACTCACCTAAACGAGAAACATTCTCTGAGATTGGAATGGATGATAATATTACTGATTGCTGTTGAGGTGAGAACATCACATTATATGGTTTAGAAAAATGACCTATCGGTAGTTTGTTATTTAAAGGGCGGAGGTTGTCACGTTGCATTATGTTCAATATAGGATGTTATGGACATGTGTAAACTACATTGTTTGTTTACATGAAATCCAAACATGCGCTTCGCAAAAACTACCCCCCTGTTAATAATTGCAACTTTATAGATCAAACAATTGATATACTTTCACGTGTAGACTTTTACAGATCATGTGTGATTTGTCTTATGTTTATGTCACATGCCCACTCATGTCTATTATAGCGTGTGACTATACTTTATACAGGTAGTTCAATTCGACTAGCATGCATGGAAAATGGGGGGGGGGGGGGCATAACTCCAGTCATCTGCAGTTTTACACACATTTTCAGTGTGTGAGTTTCAGCTTTGTATAAAACTTGTTGATTTTGTATTTTAGGCATCGAGATTACCTCAGCATACTTGTGGTCAGAACATAATCATGGAAATCTATTTTTGAGAAAGTGTCTCACATATGATTGATATTATAAAATCAACTGCCTCTTTCTAATGAGGAATTAATTGATGCTGATTCACAAAAAATGCCATGTATGAAATGCTAACATGAAATGGTTCGACCTCACTCATGATATACCGGTATGTTTTTTTTTTTTCACAGGTGGTCTTTGAAATAATTCACAGCACTGAAAGATACATGAAGTCTTGGAAAAAACCAAAGGATACTGTTACTAGAAAAAGATGTAATTCTATTGACTGAAAACAGTTCTATGATTGTGATGCAAACCATCGGAAATAATTTATTTTCACTGAATTTTATTTTCTGATGTTCATGACAGTACCAAACTTTATTTCCCAGGGACTCAACTCAATGAAAAACCTGGCACCCATGTTTGAGAATGTTGTTTTGAGAGTGCCCCTAAACATGTTTTTACAGTCCAAAATAGCATACAGCCAAATCTTACAATTTCTAAGTGTCAGTCAGTCAGTTCGTTACCTGTAGTAAAAAGGTGATACAGAATTGTATTGATAGTTTCTGAACACTTTATCGAAAAATTGCCATTGCCGCTCTTGGGATTAAGATAACCTTTTTTGTGAATTTCACAGGAAAAATGTAACTCTAGATACATAACATGCTTTTTGTATCTTAAAAAAAAATTGTCTACATGTTTTCGTCCTCAAACATAGACACCTAGACTGGCACAGTATTGGCAATTTTTTTTTTTTTAAAGTTTAAATTCCCCTGTAACCGCGAAATCACCGAAACCATGTTCAACCCAAATTTCCAAGATTTTTATTGTAATTATAATTTAACTGAAAAAAATCACCACAGCTGGGCCAGTCTAATGGGTACCAGGTATTATTCCTCTGAATTGACTCGCGGGACTTGCTGATATGTTCTCAGTTTGAATTACAGTAATGACACTATATTGTAATGTATCTTGTAAGCACTGCTTATAATGTGGTTCGTAAGTATCATATTTCCTCAGACAATTACCGTACTGCTGTTAGAATCGCATCTCTTTTAAAAATGCACATAAACCAAAAAATGCATTTATTTTATACTGGATTTTTAAAATACTACCTAATGGTGCATTTTGCCACACCTCTGTCATTCAGGTAAAGTGTAAGCGCTACTAATAGTGCAAATATGTTATTATGATAATGAATTGAAATATTCATCTGAAATCATGTACCGGTAATCCTGGTTAGACCAATCAACATGCCACTAGGTAGCCACCTGATCAATTTAATTTAAATTTAATAATTTAAACGAAAAAATAACAAATTGTAGGTATTACATCTGCTTAATTGTTGCTGCTAGAAATTTGATGGTATTCGTAAGGACAACATTTTGCGAAAGTTTATGAAATTCATGTCATAGGACCACAATCCTACAAAATTTCAGGATATTCACTGAAAATTTGTCTCTCGTGAAATTAAAGTTGTTTAAAATAATAAACACACACATAATAGAATTACAATTAGGGCATCCAATAGTAAATTACAGCAGCAATTTCTGATGATAAATGATCTCAAACTGAGTTAATTCGTATCAAGACAATCCATGAGAATTGAGCTAAATAAACAACAATATATTGAAATTTTCACTGCTTCAAAATTTCACGATTTTCAGTAACTTGTGAAGTTCACAAAAAATAGTCTTGGGAAATTAAAGGAGTTTGTAATAGTTAAATTGTCCGTGAAAAAAGTACAGAAATTCCTTGTAGAGAGAAATTTTGTATAAAGGGACAAAAAACAGAATAGTCTTTCGACTTGTTTTTTTTTGTCTTCATTCGCTATCATGTACAAGTGACATGATTGCACAGCTGTGAATCCTATCATTATATTGGGCATTATAAAAGTTTGAATTTTTGCACAAACTCTGAATTTACATTCTGTAATACCTCGGTCTGTGAAATGCAGCCTCATTTTTCAAAGGTATTTAATATTAGTAATATTTTAATTAGCCAGGCTTTGGACAAAAAGTGTTAGTGAAATTGACATTCTATCTGATAGGGATAGAATTTTGAGATTCTAAATTGGTATTTCTAAATTTCTGCAATTTATATGTGTTTGGATTGGACAGGGTGTCATTGTAAGTTTGAGAATTATAATATATATTGTAAATGCATTAATTATTCACTGTCTTTTAATTTCGCTAATAAGTAAAATCCACTAAATTAAATCTACGTTAACATGTAAAATAACAATAAAACTCATTGTTGCTTGACAAATTAGTGAAATTAAAACACAGTGAATATACTCAAACGAGTAAAAATAAATGGTTTCACAGTAGCCAATGAGAGCAAGACATGTTTTATACTAGTATTTGAGCCAATGAGAGGCAACCTTAGAGGTAGACCATTATTTCTGGAAATGGTGGTAACACAATCAATATCTAGCGTTAGAATTATGTTAATAGAAAAATTAAGAAGGAAAAGTTTGATGTAAACCAAATCATGATTAAAATTAGGACCATGCTGTTTTAGATTCTGTAGAACAATAAACTAGTATAGATTTTGAATTACGATAATATAAGTGTTTATTTAAATTTATAAGATTAATTTCAGGGTATATGTATAGTGAAATATTTACAGTTACTTTTATTACTGGTATACCGGTAACAAAGATTTAACAGCAATCTGAAGTATACTCAATTCGCCTTTCTTTGTACCATACTTTGTCAAATTTTGTTTACAGACAATCAAAACATATGTCTTATAATTTTTCCCCAGTTTGGTTTTATAGAGCATGCTATGATGGGTTTCACAAGAACTGATTTCCTCATGTGCCATCATATCTTATTGTTACAGATTTAATTATGAAATTTGGCTTTTAATACTGTAAATTGTCATTATATGCAAGTATTTGTTCATGAAATAAATAAGTTTCAATTTATATTGTTTTATTTATGTATCCAGTAAAATTTTAAAAGTATCTCTACTCTTAATTGTATATTGAATAGTGTTGAGCGTTTCAATTCTCTTTACCTCAAATACAAACACGAATGTCTTTGGAATGTTTTCATTGTGCATTGCATCATGGGAAAAGGTCAAAAACATGATTATGGTAATGTTCACTGAGTGTTTTTTATTGGATATCAATATCTTAGAGGTTGTCCAAAATATGTTGGCAAATGTTAATCTTATTATCGTATATAACTTAGACTTCTAAAAAAATAACATGAAACAAAATTTAGCTTAGGGTAGTATTCAGTTAATAAAAGTTGCATATTTGCAAGTGAACAGAAAACATAAGTGAGCATAATCTGAACTTAGTCCCATATATAAACTGACATTATAAAATAGGATGCTAAATAAAATGCAAAAAAAATCATCGGAAAATAATAGTGCAGGTAGTCATAATTGTCTTCCTGACAATACTGGTACGTTTTTTTTTCATTTATTTTTATCCGATACATATTGATGAGCTGATTTGTTCCAGTGATGTGTAGACAATACAAATTAAAATAGAGATGAAAATTTTAATGGATAATTTTCTTCAATGAGAATACACAATAGAAATGACTCTACTTTTGCCATTCTGTATAATACATCATGCAATGTGTGTGGTTTTGCACTGCACAACACAATGTTTGAAAATCGCATAGTTATCGGTACTACCAAATCAGACATGCTCCATTTGAGGTACAGAGAATACCGTAGTTTTGAGACATTTTATAATGCTAGTCAGGCCATAGCCACTCCCATGTCCTGTGGTGGTTTGGTGCTGTACATGTCCGCGGGTTCAAGTGACACATGTGTGCTTTGATTACCATGTTGTTGTTATCTCTGTGCTTTACTTGAAAACAAATTCTGGGGTAATCTTGTTATACTGTTAAAGAAAGTCAATAACTAGTCCAAAGTACAGTTTTTTTCGAGAGTTTTCGACCATTGTTTTCATTAGCAGCAACAGAATATGATATTGATAACATCATGTGCTTTAACAGTGAGACTAGAAACAAACCTTTAAAACTGTAGTTAGTAAAATCCATTAAAGAAAACAGAAATATACACTTGAGTTTCATTTCAAACTTTATTAAAATAATACAATTTAATTAAAGACACAATACTCTTAGAATAATTGTCGTTTTTTGCAACGCACTGACTATAGCTACTCGGATACTTAAAAGACTGCTGTATATACAAACTACAGAAAGAGTTGATAAAATTCTCAATTTAGAATAACAATGAAACCTGTACAGATGGTAGCTAAATATTCTCCACAAAAGACTCTGCATCAACAATGACAGTATTGAATGACATTTGTATTTATTTATTTTGCAAGGAAAGTATTGTTACAAAGATACCAGCAACATAAATACATTAACTTTATCAGCTGACCATTTTTTTTTTAATATGCAATGTTTTACGTTCATTCATGAGTCTTTAAGGGTTCTATTAATTTAAAACTTCTTAATTTTGATGCTCTTACGAAGCCCCATGCATTCAACATCGTCTATCTGAACAGTGTTGGCCTTGATATCTATGTCTTCTTCAATGGTCAGCTGGTTACGGATGAGCCCTTTGAGTTCACTTTCGGCTTGGGCATGGGTCAGTGACAGACGATCAATGTGAGAGGTGATTTCTCCAACTTCCTTGATGAGTCGATATTGCACAGGATCACGACACAATTCAACATTTGGTCGGTTCGTACGCTCCTTTAGACGTGTCTGGGAGAGTTTCATTGGACCTTCTTTGTCGTCAATGGCATTCTGCAGTTTATCAATGTTTTTCTCCATTTCCAGAATTTCACCTTGAACCTGTGTATTTTCAGATACAGAATATTTGTGAGAATTTTTTAAACGTGAACATATGCCATGCAATCATACTATTCTACAATACAACAATGTGCATTTACTTATAAAGTGAATCCGAAGGCACTCCATACAGGCCTTTCTGCAGTAAATCATGGAATGTATGGAAATGATTTCAAATTAAAGTGCAAATGACAAAACCTACCTTTGACAAATGATCTTCCAATTTTTCCTTGGTGGCTTTAGTCTCTGTGATTCTCTTATCAAATGCCAAGTCAGTCTCATCAACCTGTCGCTGCATATCGTCAGCAGTCTGTTCCAAGATTGCATCAATCATACTACGCAAGCTGATGCTGGCATTCTTCTCACGCTCTGCCTTTTCTATGTTTTTGTTTGAGAACTCTTGCCAATCATCCGGCGTAACAGAGCTATAATAGATAATAGAATCAAATGTTAGATCCCAAGTCGAAAGGTTAAAATACAAGGATCATGAACAATGTGCTTTTATGATAAAAGCGGATTGTCCAGACTCAATAAATCTAAATTTCTAAATCCTGCACAGTATGCATATCTATACAAATGCAAAACGCTGGCATCAATGCAGGTGTTGCATCATCAAGCACATACAAACACCTTTCACCTTCCACCTTTACACCACCATATTGTTTTGTACACCGAAACATCAGCATTGCCAGCTACAATGAAACTTGTTGACTATTTTGCTGTGTATGTCTGGAGATTGTTACGTGATTGGAACTGAATACAGATCAAACTATTTTTATGTGGGTATGTCGTGTGAGATAGCAAATATAATTTGTTTAATTTTGTTGATATCTTTGTCGTTTGCCAATTTATACAAATTGATGAAATTGATTGAAAGGGAAATGTATCTTCTATTGATATTTTATGTCCTTCTATATAGTTTGATGTCTCCTTTTTATATTGGTGGATCCATTGAGTTTCAATCACATAATGCTCTCCAAACATGCACATCAAAACAGTCGTCAAGTTTTTTTAGCAATGATGCTGTTTGGGTTTACTGAACAATGCGGTGATAACAGTAATAATGCCACTATTCTTATTCAATGTTAAAATAAAAACTCACTTGGCCTCAATCTTGGCAGCACCTTCATTGTATTTAATACCAGGTGTGTTATCTCTGAGATCATGGCATGCATCATCAATGTCTTTAGCCAAGAATTTGTCTTTTAAATCTTTCTCCAAGTAGAACTTGGCAGATTTACTCCTCCTGATCTGTTCTACTGTCTGGTCAAGTGTTTTCTGAAGTAACGCCATCACACCCTGGATAGTTTCCACTTCTTTCATTAGATTCTTCTGAACATCATCATGCACCAGATCAATGGCTTTACGACCCTCTCTGAAATGAAAAATTACTTCAATTACTATTTTTTGTTATTGACTGATGCATGCACATATGACTCACATCACTAAATGTACACATGATTTGATCAAAACAAACCAATAAAATAGAGTTCTATAATTTAAATGTTTTATCAATTACAATTAACTCACCTATTCACAAGACATTGTTGTGCAATGGCTAGTGGTTCCCGACATGCATCCAGTGCATTTTCTAATCTGGTCTTATAGGCTAACAATGTGTCATTCTCTTTCTTATTGTCATCTAATTTATGATCCAGCTCCTCTTTCCAGAAGTTGATGTCATCTATTCTTTGCTCTGTAAAAAAAAAACATTGAGACAAATATTAAATTAAATTGCAATTATAAAGTTCAGTCATTTGTCCATTGAGCCTGATCATTGTTACTACCGGTAAAAAAGATTAATAACTATGGTCTGGTGAAGAGATAGGATAAGGCTGTAATATTGCACTTTGAAGGAATATCTTATGGTTGAGGCTGTGGGGTTGATTCCTGGTAGACTGCTGAATAGCAGTATAAATCAGTACTGTTCGCCCTGCCTCCAAAAAACAGTTGGTATGGAGACTGGTTCGTAAGTGCACATGCTTTTTAGCACCAGAAACAAAAACATCATGAGACAGCAATGACTACAATATCCGAAAATGTTGCTTCACACAAAAATGATTTAAAAATAAAGTCACTGGCCACAATCTTAACATTTTGTCCTGACCAATATAATGAAATAAAATAGTTACTTTGCTCTGCTCTACACAAAATAAAGTGGTTTTAAATATTGTGTTTTGATTCCCATATGTGAAGCAAGTACAATGTTCATTTTGGGAGCACAAATAACACACATCAACTACAGTGTATTATTACAATGTATAAAACCAGTTTGCTGCATGGCAGGTTTATACTCATAATGTTGTTACATTGTACCTCATGTGTTTATGTTTATTTTACAGTAAAAACTACAGATTTTGATACTCACCAAATTTCTTGTTTACATCTCTTTGTGTTTTCTTAGTATGTTTCTCGGTTTCATCAATAAGTCTGTCACTTTCTGCCTTGAGTCTTTCCGCACTTGCCCTCTGTTTCTCAGCATTATTGTACTTTGAATGGTTTGCTACAACCCATTCTTCTCTTGTGAACCTTGGTGGCGCTGTTATTAATTTGGCCATTTTTGTATACTTTGTAAATCTACGGAAATAAGTCAGACACTTGAAGGTGGCAGTTCAATATGCAATAAATAAAGTACACATGTACATTGATACTTGTAACAAAAAGGTCAGCAAACGATGTGATACACTTATGATTAGACTACATGCTACATAAGATCTTGGAACTTTGAACAATTTATTTCTTTGGTATTCTTGGGATGGCTGAATTACAGACGAGTGATGGGTATTGTATATACACAGGTGCAATTACTAATAAAAACAACATGGCTGAAAACGATTTTGGTGTCGTGCTTGTGTTGTTGTTGCTCTACATGACACGATACATGTCAGAGTATTATCCTGTTGAGCTGGGAGAAAAAAAACATGAAGCTCGAATAAACAGGATACACGACAGCTAAAATACACTAAATGTGTTACAGTCTATTCGCTTAAGTTATTGCAGGGGTTTCACAAATGTATTAAATAGCAGGCCATCATCCTGTAACATTAGGCCAAAGAAAAATAAAAAGGCTCTCGGCAATGCGAAGCGCTGCAGCAAGACGGGCGTAGGCGGTCATAGGAGAAAGTAGATGGCCAATTTGTGCTTGTAGCCGGCCATATGGTCGTAACCCCTGTATTGTCATGCAAATTCACCATATTTTAATTGTTCAACTGTTATATGTGTAACTGTGATATGTCTAACAAATATCAACCTAAACCTAGTAGGAACACATTCTTCAATTTCCATTGGATCTTTCCAGTCGTCATTTCAAATTTTTGTCGCATAATTTCGTACACCATTTTTTCTGTATTTTGTTGAGCTATCAGCCTAATACAGTATTTCTTTACTCTGCCAAATAGATATTAGGGCATGTACCTCTTCGTCAAGCCACAAATTACGCGAAATTACAGACGATGCTGTCTCCGCCATAATTGAAATGATAGGTTTACTTGTAGAAGACAATTGAGGGCGTGATTTTGGCCCGATCTTTGGGCCCGATGTGTTTACATGGTCAGAGCCATGTCAGGGCCTAATCGTATCAGAGTTCAACCCGAACGCACGGCACAGTTGG